AAATACTTCTCTGTGGTCTTGATACTTTAAAGTAAAACCCTCTCTGAACCCAGGAGATAAGAAACTTTTAGGGTTTATTTCTAACTGCTCATCACAGAAAGTAAATAGCAATGGAGACTGAATAGGTACAGATAAAATTCATGTTTTTGTGTTTAAGATTTTCTTTTAAATTTTATTTCCTCATAATTATTTCATAGTGTTCAATTACAGTAACTAAAGAATATGGATAATTAGAACTAAAAGTTTCTCTTCATTTCATCCTTTTGTCTCATATTTATTTTAAAACAGAATGAAGTAAAATGTCTATTAAGTATTACATTAACACAGTCCTTCTACTCTAAAACATACACACACACACACATACACAAAGTGTAGGTTAACAGGTCTGCCCAGAAACCTAAAATCCTACTGTCTTTCTTGTAAAGAAAAATTAGTTGGTGATACGATACTTGCAGTATAAGTCATTACAGGTCTGATGTTAGAGTTGTTACACATTATTGAATCTATTGAGTGAAAAGGGAGCACAAAGGGAATTTCCAAATGCAGCTGCTATTCCTCATTTGTTAAATCCTTTTATTACACTATATAAGTACACAGCTGGGAAATACTATAGAGTGGGAGTTAAAACAAAATATTTTGGCTTCCAGACATTCAGAATACACAAAGGCTCGAGAGGAAATCAATGCTTGATATCAAAAGAGAATAAAAGTTTGAAAACATTTCTAGCAAGTATGATTTCTTTTATACCAATTATAACATATTTGTAACTTTAAACTATTCTATACTATCATAAATCACATTTAATATAAATTTGGTAAGCAAATTATTATGTTTCCTGACAAAATTCTACATCATAAAAATTTGAGAACTTATCAAGGCACTTGGCACATGCCAAGATAAAAACAGTTTACTATGAAAAATAAGTAAAGTGTTATTAAAAGAAAGTTTGGAAGTTTGAGTTATAATGTTAATGCCTCTACCCAGTATTTTCCAGTCCAGTTATCCTAGTTTGTCCATGACTGTGTTTTAACCCATCCTGTTTCTCTATCTACATTTTTTTTTTTTTTTTGACAGGCAGAGTGGACAGTGAGAAAGAGACAGAGAGAAAGGTCTTCCTTTTGCCGTTGGTTCACCCTCCAATGGCTGCTGCAGCCGGCGCACTGCGGCCGGCGCACCGCGCTGATCCGATGGCAGGAGCCAGGTGCTTCTCCTGGTCTCCCATGCGGGTGTAGGGCCCAAGCACTTGGGCCATCCTCCACTGCACTCCCGGGCCACAGCAGAGAGCTGGCCTGGAAGAGGGGCAACCGGGACAGAATCCGGCGCCCCAACCAGGACTAGAATCTGGGGTGCCGGTGCCGCAGGTGGAGGATTAGCCTAGTGAGCCGCAGCACCGGCCTCTCTATCTGCTCTTACTCTGCACTAATCCAACTCAGTTATCTTTCACTTAGATTTCTGAAATAAATTCTCAACAGATCTCCCTCCTTCCACTCATTTTCCATCCATCCATTCACTGTATCACAGTCAGAATTAAGTTTGAAATGTTCTTAAACCCTTCAAAGGTTTTCCACTGCACTTAGATAAAATCTTACCTCCATATTATCTCCAAGACTTGTGATATAGCTCCTGACCATCTCTCCAACCACATCTAATATTAAATTGTATCCTTACTCATTATACTCCAGCCACAAAGATCATTTTTGATATCTGAAAATTAAGCTATATTATTCTCACCTCAAATACTTGATAAATTCTCTTCCCTGTGTAGTTTTACTATTTATTCCACTCCACCAGGCTAGTTCCTATCATCGTTAGCTCAGAGAAGTCATTACTAACCATCCATGCTAAATCAGATTTTTCCCAACATATTCTCACAATGCACTGTTCTTTTTCTTAACAGCATATATTCACAATTTTAATTATAAATGTATTTTGTGTATACTTATTAACTTTCTATTCCTTCTGCTAGACCATAAACTCCCTGGAGGTTTGAATCATGTCAGTTTTGTTCATTAATATACAGTCAGCACCTAGTTGAATATTTGACACACAGAAGGTACTCAATAAACATCTGTTGAAATAAAAATTAAACACAGCCCCATAATCTTTCCAATAAACAAGTGGCAGTGACTGGATATCTACTTTACCCATGCTAACTTGCAGATGTAAAATGATCAACTAAAGTTCAATCAGAAAACAGACTTTAGTCTTCCTTTATTATGCCTTCTCCCCTCCCACTACTCAAGGAAAATAAATCTCCCCATGTATTGAATTTTTTAATATTGACTCCCTTCAAAACTAAAATTGGAATGGACATCATGGCACAACAGGTCAGGCCACCACTTGGGATGCCCACTTCCCATACTGGAGTGCCTATTCAAGCACCTCTCTTCTCTGCTTCCCAACTTTTCCAACCCAACTTCCTGTTGATGTGCCTGGTATTTGGGTCTTTGTCATTCCTGTGAGAAGCCAGATAGGGTTCTTGACTTCTGGCTTCAATCTGACCCATCCCTGGCTATTGTGAATATTTGGTCATGGAAGATGGAAGATATCCTTCTTCCTTTCCCCTCTCCTCTTCTTCTCCTCCCTTTCCCTTTCAGATAAATAAAATGAACTTTAAGGCCAGCGCCGCAGCTCATTAGGGTAATCCTCCACCTGCGGCGCCGGCACACCAGGTTCTAGTCCCGGTCAGGGTGCTGGATTCTGTCCCGGTTGCCCCTCTTCCAGGCTAGCTCTCTGCTGTGGCCCGGGAGCGCAGTGGAGGATGGCCCAAGTCCTTGGGCCCTGCATTCGCATGGGAGACCAGGAGAAACACCTGGCTCCTGGCTTCGGATCAGCGCTGCGCTGCAGCGCACCGGCCGTGGCGGCCATTGGAGGGTGAACCAACAGTAAAAGGAAGACCTTTGTCTCTGTCTCTCTGTCACTGTCCACTCTGTCTGTCAAAAAAAATTTTTTTAAATAAAAAAATAAATAAACTTCAAAAATGAGTTAGGGAAGAAGTTATGGCACAGTGAGTTGTCATGGCTCGCAACTCCAGCATTCCATATGAGGGTGGGTTCCCATTCCAAAGCTGCTCCTTGCTGATATGCCTGCAAAAGCAGTGGAATATGATACAAGTACTAGGACCTCTGCCACCCACATGGAAGACCCAGGTGGAGTACCACACTCTTGTCTTCAGCTTGACCCAGACCTAGCCATTGCAGCCATCTGGGAAGTGAATCAACAGATGGAAGATTCTCTCTTTCTCTCTTTCCCTCTCTCTCTCTCCCTCTCTCTCTGCTTCCTCCTCACTGTCTCTAACTCTGCCTTTCAAATAAATAAAATAAATACTTAAAATATCACTATGGAAACATTTTCTTCCAGTCCCCTACTTCTCACCCAATTGTTCCAGAGCACCATCTGTGTCTGGAAAAGAACAATGCCTGCTTCCATAAATTATTGAATTAAGTTTCTGAGACATTAAGTACATTTAAATATGTGTCATTGGGGCCGGCACTGTGGCACTGTGGCACAAGCGGGTTAACACCCTGGCCTGTTAAGCAGGTTAACACCATATGGCATCCCACATGGGCTCCACTTCCAATACAGCTCTCTGCTACGGCCTGGGAAAGCAGTAGAAGATGGCCCAAGTCCTTAGGCTCCTGCACCCACATGGGAGACCTGGAAGAAGCTCCTGGCTCCTGGCTTCAGAACAGCGCAGCTCCAGCCATTGCGGGCAACTGGGGAGTGAACCAGTGGATGGAAGACCTCTCTCTTTCTATCTGCCTCTCCTCTCTCTGTGTAACTTTGACTTTCAAATAAAATAAATAAATCTTTTAAAAAAAGTGTTATTAATAGTAAACATTTAAAAATATCACTTTGATAAGAATTTCCTCATCATTCACTTAAAACATTCTTCATGTGATTAGTTAAATGCAAAACAGTTTCAAACTTCTAATCTAATAAAACACATTATGAGGAAGAAGGGTTGGCACATGGGTAGGAGGTAGGGTAGAGTGGGAAGTATTATGTTCCTCAATTTGTATACATGAAATACATGAAATTTGAATAATTTAAATAAAATTTTTAAAAACACATTATGGTTTTTATGTTAAAAGATCTAAAAGAGTGCTAACAATTAAAATATTTTTTCTTTGAACTAGATAATTTCATTTATGGTTTCTGTTTTGATGATTAGAAATGGACTTTAACATAGAAGCACAAGCTAATATACTACATGTACTGGCATTTGATGTTATTTATACTTTTAGAAAAAAAAAAAAACTCCTGCAGTCTGATTGAAACATACTCACAAGCTTTGCATGTCCTCTTGAAATAAAGATACATGTATACAAATAAGACAGTTTTTTAAATAAAAAATGCCCGTAAGAAGTAATAAATATATGCATTTACCCACTGAAGATGTATTCACAAGATCTCATTCATATAGCCAAATTTGCTTATTAAATTGTTTCAGTGCTAATTCACAGCCATACTTATTTTGTAATATTACCAAGTTCACCTCCTTAAACTCAGTGATTCAGAGCATATGGTAACAAAATCTCACCCCCAATAAATCAAGTATCTTTTAGTAAGTTGACCTAAGAGTAGATATAAACTACATCAGAAACCATTTTTAAGTTTTCCCAGTTACTAGTGCAAAGATACTTCAAAGAATTCACGGTAAATGGAATTTAAATAAATTTATTTTACTGCAAAATATTTTAAACCCATGCATACAAAGGATGTGCAAAAAGTTTGTGGCAATGTATACTGTGGGAAAAAAGCATAGATTTCAAAATATTTTAGACAAAAATTAATTTATCTTTTAATTCTGCTTCCCATGAGCTTTTTGAAGTTTCCTGGTATATTAGTTTTATATATATATACCTGGAGATTGTTTCAGAACCTGAACACAACAACTCTAATGCCATGCATTTTCAGCTTTCCCTAAAACACCAATTTATAATAAGGACATATAAATAAACACGCTTAGTGTCAGTGGGCAGATTTTAAAAGCTCACCATCCTTTGCTGAGATGACAGAACGCTGTCCCAGTCAGCATCTTGTTGAATGGTATTGACAATTGTTGGTAGCTCCTCAGAGTGAGGTTTGTTGTGCATTATGGGGTGCAGAGGCAGATGGGAGGCCACATGTTGATCACTACCCTCTTCCTTTTCCCTTGAGGTCAAATCCTGGGTCATCGCTTCCTCTCCATCAGCTGCACAGGCAAATGGAGAGGTGGCTTGCTTGGAAGACATTCTTCTGCAGAAAAGGAAAAACATTGTGGATGAAAAGGGCCATCATCAACAACAACAAAAGTAAACCATCTCTTGCATTTGATTAATTCAGGAAAAAGGAAAGTTCTTTGGAGATATGTATAGTCTACTATAAACCACTAAGAAACAGCTCCTGGCTTATCTGTCCCTTTCTCTCTCTTTGCTTTTAACTGAGCAAACCTCTTTCCAGTAATAGCTACATATTTTTCCTCTTACTAATCCACAAATGAATTTTTTATAGAATAAATTTTCATAATCTACAGTTGTATACATGTGTATATTTTTTCTTCCAGTTCTCTCAACTACGTTATAAACTTCTTGAGAGCAATTAGGTTGATGGTTAGCAATGAAAATAATGAATGAATGAACTGCAAATGAGCCACATTACATGATGACTTGAAAGCACAAACGTCCAAATTTCTCCTACGGTTTATTTAGGAACAAAAGAAGTCTGTGTAGGAAAATACAATTGGGATGGTAAATAATCAGTAATAAAGGTTGAGTGAATCTAGTCCTGACTTCTTAGTGTTTACTTTATATTGTTAGTTCTAGGCCTTAAAACTACTTAGTGTCCATTTGATGGTTTTGTAAAGACCTTTAAGATGTGTCAACTACTGTAACATAAGTTGTGACATATTGTTTCAGTGACTAATGTTATGTTAGGCTTAAGGCAATTTTGTAGCATTTGAATTGGGTATCTGAAATGACTATACCTCTGGTTCATGTAGGAAAGCACATTCAAGACTCGATGCAATTACTATGAAAATAGTAAAGCAAATTCTGTGCATACTTAAAAATCTCCTAAAATAACACTGGACATTCACTATGTTCCACAAATAATCACTGATGACACTCCGCATGACAAAGTCTCCATTCTGTGCTTTTATAAGGATACAATCAATAAATCACTATTATTAAACAGAATTTCAAAACTTTTAGAATGTTACTTTATCAGGATGAATTTCTCAGAAAATGCTTAAAAATAAAACCATTAAGTTTGTCAAAAAAAAATAAAAATAAAACCATCAATTTTGTAACTTATCAGAAGAAACAATTCAGTTTTTTTTCTAAAACTTTGCATTGTTTTTGGTTTATTGTATCTTTAGTTCTAAAGCTGCTGCGTAATGAAAGGAATAAAATCTCCACCTTAATTGCTCTTTAACATTAATTGATTTCATACCATTTTTTTAAAAATGCACAAATCAGTTAACATAGGAAACCACATGAGCATTTTTCAAATTAGCAAATCATTAACTTGCTAGTACTGTTTCTACAGACAAATAAATACTGATTAAAGGGTCTAGAAATCTGAGATTAACAGTTAAATTTACAAATCTGTCACATGCTTTCATGAATATTGCAGTGAAGGAAATATCAAGTGCAAAGAAAAATAATTAAGTTAATTCCAATTTAAACAGTAGTTTTTATGTAGCAGCCCATGTTTCACATAGGATTTAACAGCTAATGCTAAATTTCTCACAATTAATGAGGGGGCTCAGATTTAGTATCCTACAGTGAAAAAAAAATTATTATAAGATCAGCTAATCTAATTATGCACAGTTCTAAATAAAAGTATTACAGGCTTTTGAAGTGCTTTGAAACATATTAAAATGCTGATACCTACTTATAATAATCATTCAACAAATAATAAAATTTCACCTATTACACTTGATGCTAGACAATAAAATAGGGGATAGGGAGTGCAAAAAGAATGCCTTCATTTTCTGTGAGGACAAAAAATTCTATATCCTAAAGAATATAATATCAAAGATCAGATAAATATATTCTTGATGAATTTCTACCAATATTAACAAATGGACAAATAAATAGAGTTACGAAAACCGACAACCAAAGTGTGCTTCTAACTATACAAGAATCACTGTAGAGCTTCCATTACTGGTCCCTTAAATACGACAGTAAAACCAGGGAAATTATGGCTGATCTGCAAGTTTATCAAGAGCTTGCCACAAACACCAAGAATGTTCTCTTAGTTCACATAATGACAGTACCGATAATGTACTCATTCACATTAAAGACAAAAGAATGAATTTACTGTTGCTTTTTAAAACAGTTAAATACAACTGAAAGTCATAATCCAAGATTCAGAGTGACTTTAGCTCTCTCAACAACATCCTCTTATTATAGAGTGAATTGCCTCCTTCCAACAGCAATATCTGTGATTGTTGCTGTCATATAAATTAATCATGACACAAAACCAAAGTGAAAGCAGTCTCTTAAGAATAATTTCAACCATAAACTGCACCAGTGAACAATAGTGCACAATCCTAATTAAACACAACTATGCAGCTGTAAAAATAGACTAAATCTGTCCAAACCTATGAGCTGAGTTTAAAGGCTGGTTTGTTAAAGTGTTTTCTTAAGGAAAGCTGGGTCCTGGGTCTTAATCAGCCAATAAATTATTTCCTGCAATTACATTAAATAGAAAATTATCTTCAAATGGGGAGTGTTAATTGAAAATCAAAATTCAGAGGGAAGTTTAGAAATTACACGCTGAATACAATTAATGAGGAAAGGCTTCACCTCTACTTCATCAACAGTCTTCTGGTGATTCCTCCAGTGACCATTCAGGAAAGCTACCTATTTATAATATCACACAACCTGTCTCTTATTTTGCACCTACAAATTCAAATGTGTATCGAGGTTGCAAATAAAAGGGAGGCTGCCAAGAAAAATGCAATATTAAATCTGACTGCTCAACCTCAGTTCACACCATCATTAAGGGAAAAATGAGCAAAGAGTGGTAAGACAACAATGGTTAATGACCAAGGAAGAAAGCACAGTCAACTTGGATAGCCATCCTTTTAGCAAAGGAATTAACATTTTTCTCTACAAAAATTACTTTTCCATATCATATTTTGTTAAATTTCTTGTGTTTACTTTATTACAGATCTCAGAGATGTTGTTAGCAGAGCAAAAAATGATTTTTGTTCTATTTGCAAAATATTTTCTTATTTCCTTTTGGTAACATTGTTGGATTTTTTTCAGATTTTTCATTGTCGGCTTGTCTTTTTTTTTAAAGTAAAGTTTGCACAAATTATTTTTAATGCATAGTTTATTAAATAAACCTTAGATTCACTGATTATTAGGCTCTATTCACTGGTTTTGTGTAAAATTACTTTATTAAATGATCCTTTGATTTACTGATTACATCCTCATTCACTTCATTCTTGTAAGCCATTTTTCTAGACTAAATAAACCGTATTCTAGAAGCTACAGACATTTGACTTTTGAGAATGCCTTTACTATATAACCACTACACCATAGCTTCTCTCCTTTAGAAACCTATAAATTGAACATGCACTTCTTTAAATGGTTTCGAAAGTCATGTAGGAGGCTCACACTTATTTTTAATGCTCATATAAGTAATTTTCCATTAAAATAATTTTCACACATCCTCTAGTGTATCAGAGGAGCACCTTACTTTAGCTGCTGCCACATATAATAAGCAAAAGAAATTCAAAATCCTCATGAAAATGATCAATTTCTATGTGACTTTACTTTGTTTTATTTTTGCACTATTATGACTTAAAAATCATTCAAATGAATTGTTTTTTTAATTTGTATTAAAAAAAATCCCCTAGTTATACCCCCTGAAAACAGGGGTTTATAATGGAAGTGCTGACACAACCCTAACTAAAGCAGCGCAAATGTTGCCGCTATAATACACAAAATCAAGTTCTATTATTCTAAACTATCCTCGCTCATGGGATTTTTCTTTACTGTGCTCCCAGCCAAACTGCTGAAGCATGAAAAATTTAAATGCAATCAAATGCGCCCAATTCTACTTTACTAGAACAAGTGTCTACAGTGGTACAATCTTAAAAGGAGATGCAACAGATTTGTTTGGTGTTTTTTTTAACTGTTTATTTATAATACAGTGCATTGGAGATAAAATAAAAGAGGAAATTACACTCACATGGTACCAGTGTATTGACTACACAGAGTACATTATAATCAGAGAGAAAAACTACATTGTCAACTTATCACATTGGTTAAACAAGATGGTTTTCTGGGGCATAGCTATTATCAAGTAAAATCTCCAAAGAGAATTAAGTATCTTTGTGACACATAAAACTAAATTCCCATCATATGTTTCCTGAGTTTGAAATGTTTCTGCCCAACAGATCAACTGAATTCTCAGGATATGAGGCCATTGGGAAAAACTTTGGGGAACAAAATTGTTGGAGATAAAGCCTCCAATGATTAGTAATGTTCTCTAGGAGCCCAGTAGGAATGCCTATAGAAAGGTGATGATTATTTTACTCCAAAACACTAGTACAGAGAGAATGTTTAGGTCATTACAAACTCACACAGTAAGTTTACACCCTGTTCTTCAATAAGAAATCAAAATTAGTTGTCCCAAGATTTTATAAAATAATGAGGCAGCTGGATATCTACACATTAAGTTCTATATCACATATTTTAAAACTTTTCTGATTTGATGTTGTTACTTTTTAAAAGCTAATTTTTTATATAAGTTTAAAAGTTAGGATTATTTTTGAACAATTTTAAGCTTTTAATTTTTTTATAAAGCATAGTCATGCAACATCACATTTTTTAAAATTATTGCTTAGCAAAAAATCCATCTCCCAAAAGTATCCTTTGGTTTAACATAACTGTGGATTTATATACACTTGATTCATCAAAATAATATTTTTATAATATTTTCAATACCTTTATGAGTATTTTCAAATGGCATTCACTTTTCAGGCATGTTACATTTACTCAAAACAAGTTCTGTTTTTTAACATAAAGCAACAATTTAACAGTCGGTTTACTTATAGAAAAAATAAGAAGGTCAATCCAACATTCGCATTCATTATTGCAGTTCAGCCCCAGGCTACCAAGGTAGGCTTAGTTAAGTCATATAATTCACTGTTAATTTAATGCTGCACTTGATCTGTATGAGAAATAAACAACTAATTTTCCAAAAATACAAAACAGTGACTCTCATTTGAAGGAGCA